ACCAAAGAACACGTTGCCAAATGTAAAGTTTGGTGGTGGCAGTATCATGATCTGGGACTGTTTTTCTGCAAAAGGTCTTGGCAGGTTATCAATAATAGATGGCAAGAGGAATGCCGAAAGCTACCAGAAAATCTTGAAAGACAATGCGTTCTGTTGAGAAACTTCGGCTACCTCCTGATTGAGTTTTCCAACTGGACAATGATCCTAAGCATACCGCTAGAACTACAAGGAAATGGTTAGCTAAAATAACGTTGATGTCTTGAATCCAATCGAGAATTTATGGCGATATTTGAAAATTCATATTGGGAAAAGAGCACCAACATATATCAAAAATTTGAAGACAATACCACTTAATGTGTGCAAATCATTAGTTGAGACGTACAGGAATAGACTGGTAGCTGTTGAACTCAATAAAGGATATTCTACAAAGTATTAAGTTAAGTTTATATGCTTTTTTGGTTTTGTACGAATACTTTTTCATCAGTTAAAATGGAAAAAAAATGCATTAATTCTTTTTAGAATATGAATTAATTAAGTTTATTATTATTATTTTTTTAATAAAATGTGTCATTACACATAAAATGTATCAAAATTTGTTTTAGTTTAAGGCTTTTACATTTATAAAAATGCAATTTTTCTTGTGTACGAATATTTATTTCCCCCACTGTATATATATATATATATATATATATATATATATATATATATATATATATATATATATACACACGACGCGTTTTGTCCTCAACGCAGTTGTCTTGATAATATCTGACAGAGAATAAATACCAAGTCGTGTATGTCATTGGGGGAAATTAGAAACAAAGTAGGTTCAAAGATCTTGTCCAGGTGGGGTACGCTTGCATTAATCCTAGCAGATCTAAAAAGGCGGCTGTTCAAAAGAACTTTAATTTTGCGATTCGATTAGAAAAACTGAAGCAATTCATGAATTTGTCCAGAAATACCATAACATACAATAATAGGAATACAAGTATGCAAAACGTTTTCTTTCTGTCTATATTTATGTGTGTGTGTATGTGTAAAGTGTATTTATATCTGTTAGAAACAGCATAATCGTATTTGAGTATGACTATGAGAGGGAGTGATAATTTTTTGAATATATGTTTACAGAGAGAAACGTTCTATTGAGAGATTTTCCCGGAAAGTAAATAAATAGAGTAAATGGCTAGAGTGAGTGTTAGAGGAAATTCAAAAGCTAGAAGCATCCATATTTGTGTGTAAGCAGCGATGAATGCGTGAGAGAAAGATGGAGTGTATGCATGTGTTAGAGAGAGAGAGAGAGAGAGAGAGAGAGAAGTTTGTTAATATAAACTTTTACCCTTATTTCTTATTAATTAGATAAACTATAAGTGAATGGGTTAAACTCAACCAATTCCCCACCACATCGTCCTATATGATAAGTGAAAAATACACAGGACGTTTTAAAAAATGTGATCTGATTTACGTTTTATTCAACGCCAAGGCGATTTCCTTTAGTATTTGAATCCTTTTAATTCCTTCTGCACGGTCTGTCAACAAACCCACGTTTGAATCATGCAAATGTATAATTTGGACGGAAAAGTCATGTAAGAGTGAAAGGAAATCGAATTTTTATGAAAACTTTCCTTTTAGTTAGAATATCGTGTGCTCGTCAAAAATATCATTTCCGTTGCAATTTTAGTCACTGTCAAAATTTAAACTGGAAAAAAAAAAAAAAATTGAAATCACGATAACCACTTTTTTATTCCAGCATAAAAAAATGTCTATATTATAAAACTGAAAAATCAAAAGCAATTTAAAATTTGAGATTTACAAGTCAGTACTAAAAAGGTTATCCGTTCGAAAAGGAAGGAAGGATAATACTGAAAACCGATGAGACCTTTCAAACAATCCCAAACACACACATATATATATATATATATATATATATATATATATATATATATATATATATATATTACAAAACGTAATTATAGATTAATTACTTCATATTTGAAAGATTTTGTTACCCATTTTATATTTATTCAGCAGTATGCATTACGACTATCGGTTAGCAAATTCAAGTTATCTTAGTAATGAATATTGTTCATTGGAAAGAATCGAAACTGCCTGCCATTTTGTAGAGAAAACCACTGTATAATACTGCTGCTGCTGCTGATGCGGCATTCACCCTGGGCGGATTGAGCCGGCTTCTTCCTGTTATGAGAAGAAGATTCTTGGGATAAATTCAGAAGTTTTACCCAGGCCTACTCGGATAACGTTCTTGCTTGCCGCGGGGTTCCAACAGACGCAGAGACAGGAACGACCAGAAGCCGCCGGTTACCGATGCAGACGCTCCTTGGATTTTCACCAGAGCCCTTGTTAGCCGGCGTGTTGTGGACCAGACCTAAATTTTGGTGGCCCTACCAGGATCAACGAAGTTCCGGACGGCATAGTCTGACATCACCATTTACCATTTCTCCACTGACTGTGATTTTAAGGGTTGGACTTTGGGGTTTTAGTACCAGGTGTTTGTTTGCTGTCCCCCATCTAAGTACTGACCTGGCTCTACGATGCTTAACTTCGGTGATCGAACGAGAACCGGTGTTTCAGCGTGATTTAATTGTAATCATAATATAAACGACATGATTTACTTTTAAAATATCTAAAATATGATATTTACAGATTGATGTTTCATAGTGCTATCGTTATTAGTATATATATATATATATATAATATATATATATATATAAATATATATATATATATATATATATATACATAAATAAAATATTCTCTGTTGATTAATACAATTATTTAAAGTGGGTTGTTAATAAAAAAATTAAACGTATATTTATTTGAAAATATGTGTTCGAAGATATGTAAAAAAAAATTAATTTTGTCTAAAAAAAATGTTCGAATTTTGTAATATGGCAAACTGAACTTGTTAATGAACTTATAAAATATATTCAATGACAAAATTTATTTTAAATTTAATTTATAATTTTTATCAATAAATTTTTGTTTGATGACTTATTGAAATGAATAATCAAAATATTTATTAACAAAATTATTTGTTTTTTTATTCCTCAAAGGAGCCATATTCGATATTTTATTTCAATTGGATATAACATAAGGGTATGGACGATGCTAAAATTTACAAATTTTTTTCTGGGAACAAATTAAATACAAATAAATATATATATATATATAAATAAGGTCCATATATTTGATTTTTCTTTAATTTATAGATTTTTGTATTAAATATGTTCAAATTTTACCTAATTAATTATATATTTTCTAATATTGGGCCAGGGTCTATATAAGGTCCCATAGAACAAAAATATATATCCCAAAATGAAGATTTTTATTTAAATATATAATTATCAAAGAATCCCATGGTAATTATTATAAAATTTATTACCATATATAATGTTTTGAAAAAATAAAATGTTTTAAAATGTATTTTTAAAATAAATGTTTCAAATGTATTTTGATAATCTGATATTATTATATTTTAAAAAAAATAAAATCAGCAATAGTTTTTTAAAATGTATGTTTTTTTTTGTATAGATATTCATTTTTATTTAAATTCATTTTTATTTAATTATCCAAAAAAATTTTCCTTTTTTTCATATAGAAAAAACTTTGCATCAAATAAATTAAAATTAAAATGTTAAAAGTGGGTATTTCGATGATAACGTATTTAAAACTGTTTTTCAATATTAAATATATATTTATAAATTTAATATTTTTCCCATTTATATATCCATTTAAAATTGCCCCAAACAAAATAAATATTTATAAAGATTTAAAACAAATAAATTCCCTATTCTACCAATGTTTCATTATTTAACACAAAATCCAATATATTTTATATATTAAAATGAAAATAAAATCAGAATATATAAATAGATATTTGTTTTTAAATGTGGTTTCCTGGATATACCCAGGGTAAGGAATATATATTTTTTTTATATGTTTGTTGATGTTTAAATGAAAATTTTGCCAGACAATCATAATTGGAAGGTTATAAACATAAGAGAACAGACTAAAAATTACGTTTTTTTCAGTAACCCAGGTGAATAATATCTCTTCATATTGGTGTTGGGTAAATAAATTATTATAAATATTATATATATATATATATATATATATATATATTTATATATATTAGCTGATAAGTTTTATGAAAAAAATTTTTGCTATCAAAAAATTGACATCTTCCTTTGATACTATTTGTAATCATTTTTTATTTATAAAAGTGGAAGATTTGTTAAAAACCATACAAAATTCATTTGTTTTTATGTCGCTTTCCCTGTCCTGTGACGACCAATTGACTTGGTATTGGTCGCGGCACCAAATGTGACGTTCTAACCCTTTGCTGATTCGGATGGGAATCTGGTTAGATTCGGTATCAGCTTTGTCGTTCCCAGCTCGCCTCCAACGTCTGGTTACCGAAGTAACTGCTTTGATTTCTAGTCTAACCTACCCACGTTGTGATTTGATCTTAGGTAGACGAAATCAATCAGTCGCCGGGCCGTAATGCAAGCCGAGTTCGAGCAAAAGGTAACATCGCACAAGTATATGTAAAAGAAAATAAAGTAACAACTCGAAAAGTTCAAATGTGTTAAAAAAAAGAATAACAAATATTTTTATATCTGGTTGCTGAATACAGGACTGCGTCTTTCTCCCAAACCGCTTAATATGGATACGTGACACTTTGCGTTTGTTAGGCGAGTCTTAACATCTTAAGTTGTTTTTTTCAAGAAACTGGTTTTTTGTATCTTCAGGCGATATTCGTAAAACTTGTTTTGGTGGTGTGAGTCTAAGTCGTTCTTCAAAAATAAATTGTTTTTTGGTTAGAAGTTGAAGTCGGAATGCGTGGAATGGATTTTCAGTCAGCTTCCTGCGAGGCTGGTCTCAGAGCTCACAGCTCAACTCTGTCTGCGTCTGCTCTCGTCTCTCCAACTGTCTTTGGAACTCTGCCGAACAAAAAAAACTCAACTGCCACTCGCTACGACTCTGTTTATATGGACGCCGACCAAAACTTTTTTTGGGCCTGTCGTGGTTTGGGTTCCTCGATAATTCTAAATCCACAATAAGGATTTTCTTTGTTTTCGGACAGGAAAATTTATCATTTTCCATTTTTGGAAGTCCATTACTTTCTGTTTTAGGGGTTCTTAAGGGAATCGTCCTCCCAAATTCTTCTTTTCTTTCTCATATTGGTATCTCACCAATCCCCCTCAGAGGGCGTCAACAGGTTTCCTTCTTTCTCACAGTGGTATATCACACCAATCCCCTTCAGAGGCGTCAACAGGCCTCCCTTCTTCTCAACCTTCGCCTACCGCTCACGCCACCATTCAGCCAATGAACGCTCAAAAGCGTGGGTGTGGCCAGTTTGGCCTCAGTTTAAAAATTTGCTCAAAGGAAAAAAAAATTATCTTCTTTTTTTTTTTTTTTTTTTTTTCTTTTCAGACCCCACGACTCGTAGTGTGGTCCTTAATCTCTATCTTAACTGAATGTCATCTGGAATTTATCAACGAGATTTTCGCCAAAATCAAATGGGTGGTCAACTGGACGTATCGCATTCTGTCGCCAAATCTGTCCCGGCAACAAACTTTTATCATGTCCAGGTCTGGACATAAAACAGGTGTTTTTTTAAAAACCAAATGATATCTCCGAAAGATAGTTAATGGTTTATTCTTTTCTTTTTCTCTTTTTTTTTGGGGGTGGTCTCAGCTGATGCCTTTCTCGGTCAGTACGTGACCTGATTACGATTATCTTCCAGCATTCTCTTTTTGTAGGCCACTTGACCAATTTGAAATTTTCATTATTGCCATGGGCAGATTCATTATCTTTTTATTCGCCGCGTCATAGCATAAATTAATTCCGACAGATCCGAGATCTTACGAATTTCCTATCTTCTGAAAAAAAAAAAAAAACTTTTTTTCGCAAATGAAAATAAAATCTTTACCACTTTTCTTTTGTTAAAAAAAATAACATCGCTCAGTATGTCTTTCGTGATAGCTTCTTTAATTTTTAAATTTTCTCGCCTTAATTATTTCTCGCTTTTAATTTTCACGCGACCGCTAAATAGTGTGTCACAAATTAAAAGAATCAAATATATTAAATATATATATCTATAAATATATATATATATAAATATATATATAGAATTAAAATAATATATATTATATTAATCTATTTTTTTTAATTTAAAAAAATTTGGCACAATTTTTTAAATTGTAATTCTATATATCATATAAAATTGAAGGGGATTAAAATTTAATTGAAAATAAAAATTAATGTAAAAACAAAATTTTCTACAAGTTGATTTTTCATAAATTTAAATCATTTTTCGGCTGTGAAAACAATTTTGGCATTCAATGTAATTGCTATAATTTTAAAATCTATAAAATGGATAAATTAAAAGAACAAATAAAATTTTTAATCAAATATTTCGTAAATTCATTAAAATATTTATTAAACTATTTGAAATTTTTGATTTTAAATAAATATATCAAATTGTCAATATATTTTTTTTTGTTTTAATAAATGAAAAAAACCTTTTCCTAAAAATAAAAAAATTGAAAATATATATCGATTTTGATTCAAACAAATTTTTCAAACATTTTTAAAACATAATGAACGTCTTGTTAATAAAACCATTAAATATTTCCATATATAATACATTAAAATATTTATTAGTTTTTTTTAAAATATATGGATTTATCTTAATTGCCAAATTTATTTATTTCTGATTTAAACAGGATAAATTCCAAATATTTTAAATTTTTTTTATTTTAAATATGGTTTAATTTTTTGTTAAAACATATTTTTATATATATATATTTTATATATTTATGTATATAGCAGAAAAAAATAAATATTTTGAAAGACTATTTTGTTATTTTATTTTTTATATAAAAAATATAAATATATATAATAATAAATTATTTAAATCGTTTATTCCCAAAATAATAGGTCAATTTTCGGCCCTTTCAATATTTATTTGTTTTTAAAAAAATTTAAATAATTAGAATGTTGGATAATAAAATTGAAAAATTTTGATCAAGTAAAAAATCTGAAAATAAAAAATTTAAAATTTGTTTGAAAAACAGATTGCCACATAATACTTTTATAAAAATTTTGAAAATATTTAAAATAAAATTTTCAAATTGAAATAGATTAAAAAAAATTCTTAAAATAAAATATAATACTTATGAAAGTTAAAAATTCAAATTTTTGATTGGGTGTATCTTCAAAATATTCCTTTTTTTTTTGAATATATAAATATTTAAAAAAAAAAAATCTACATATTTATATGCTAATATAATTGAAATTTATCCAAATGATTTTATCAAAAAACGTTTCATGAAAAATATTTTTTCCCTCGATAATAAAAAATTCTAAAATTCATATTTTTGCATGCCAAAAAAACTATAATTTTGTTTGTTATAAAAATGACATATTTATAAATTGTCAATCTGTTAAAATAATTTCTTCTTGGAAATAAATTTATTCAAATAAATATTATTGTTTGAAAAAAAATAGTGCATATAAAATATAAATATATTAAAAAATTTTTATAGGTCTAAATATTAAATTGCT